GGCCGAGTGTGAACTTATTATCCTTTTGGGACCACACACTCGGGCATTACCCTGTTGGGGCCGTTGTAGTGATGTGTTTTTATGTTGTGTGGTTATTCCCCTGTTAGGGTCGTCTCTAGGCGGGCTTCGTCCTGTCCTCTCATATTTATTCAGCTAGTGGCTGTGTTTGTCAGCTGGTGGTTGTATTTGGACATTTGTGCCCTTATATAAAATTCTATTGTTTCGGGAAAATAAAAGGACGAAGTTGTTGACGAGAGTTCAAATAGTATTCATCAGGGTGCTCGAATACCAGATCAATTAAGGCCCAAGTGAGGGGTAAATTAAAGACCACGACTTATTGGGCTATAATACTTGGACACCTAATTAGGCCCACTTAGATTTATTTAAGGAGACTTGTGTTTAGAATTTAATGGATGAGAATTCATGGTGGGGTCCAACAATTGGAGGACTAATTGGGAGACTTGTAGCACTCACGTGATAGGAGGCTTGGGATTATATTGTGAAGACTAGTGGCTGCTACCTATTCCAAGTTGATGGTTGAGAAGTCATTGCAGATGGACAGAGCTGAAAACAGTACTGCAGCTTGTTTGAACCAGAGGGCTAGGATGAGATGTTGGAGGCAGAAAGTGCAAGGCAAAGTGAAACATTTCATCTGGAAATGTTTCGATGGGGTACTGCCAGTGATGTGGAATGTGCAAAGGAAGGGACTGGATGTGGATATCATGTGTAAAGACTGTGGTGAAGAATGTGAAATGGTGGAGCATGTATTGTTCAGATGTAGGAGAGCTCAGATGGTATGGAAGCTGGCCCCGGTCCAATGGAAGGAACCACCAGGTTGGGAAGGAGAGTTTAAAGATTGGTGGTGGTGGATCAGTTCTCTAAAGAAGGATGCAGTGGCTGAGAAGAGAATCCAGCTGTCTACCTACATCTTCTGGTGGCTGTGGAAGGCCCATAATCTATGGGTGTTTGAAGGACTTTGGAAACCAGAACATTTGACACTCAAGGCAGCAGTGAAGAGTTGGCAAGAGTTCTTCGACTACAAGGCTATTTCTTGTTCTGGTCCTAGTTAGGGCTTTTTGCTTTGTTTTTGTGTGTTTTCCTTGCTATGCTAGGTCTTTAGTGACAGTGGCTATGTATGTGTTTTTTTTTTTTTTNNNNTGGCTTTTGGTGATATCTACTGTATTCGGCTCGTGTGGCTGCATGTAGGTATTAGTGTTGGGTTATCTAGGCTAGAAAGTGTTCTGATTCTCTCATTGTATCTCGATTATTTGAACCTTTTGCTATGAGCATCTTCTATCGTTTGGAACAAAAGAAGTCTTATGGGATTTAAATGTGCTGAGAAAAATTGTGATTTGGGCCCACAATTGAGTAGAATTTGGATTTTGGGAGGA